GCTCCAGAGGAGCTCGCTCAAGCCGGACTCAACCAGGGGCGCGACATATTTTCGGGGCTACACAACAACTGTTGTGACGACGCCTCCAATTACCAGTTGCCGATAGCGCGCATTGTATTTGTACCATTACAATCAAGTCCTACTATTGTTGCGAAGTCGTATGATGATGATCAATTGATGATGCTTCATGTGGGAAACCCAACGCCGCTCAACGAGGCCGGGAGCTGTCTCGCTGCATATAAGACGATGTAACACGTCTTGGAAGGGAAATCCGTCTCTCTAGCACTCAATATGACCGACAACGAGTTGAAGAATCGCAATCGGTTGATTTAATGGTGCGTAAATGAATATGTGTAAGGAGGAAAAAGAAGAGCTAGAGCAATTCACGTCCCACCCAAAAGCTGTATGAGTTTTCGTGTCACGTGCACATGCCTCCAACCTCCCTGTCAGCGGGTCCAGTCACTAAGGTAGTGCGCCCTTTAAATTTTCATTTTCCGACACGGCTTCATCTTCTTCCTCTCTCATCCTCAACGACAACAATGATGGCAACAGCCGCAGCAGCGAACGTCGAGGCCTCCCCGTGTTCGTCCTCCGCTTCAGCCACTCCTCTGTGAGCCAGCCGGCGAGCAAACAATCCTCGCTCCGCCTTTCAATGCGCCACTAGCAACATGGCATCAAGGCATCGCCGAAGAGGCAGCAACCGTGTTCCGCTCGTGGTTCGCCTACTTGCAAACTGAGACTCGAGTCGGATGTGGCTATTCTCGGCTTGTCGTCAAAACGTCATGTCGTGAAGCACAAGACAAGCAACTGTCATGTTGTTCTGTTCCCGCAGTACCAGGATCCTCGCCACAGTCCAGGCCAAGGCTTGACTCTTCGTTTGTTTTTGCTACTCCCACATGCTTTCTGCACACTCTTTCTCCATTTTACCCTGCTCCTGATACAAGTGTTCCCGTCCGTCAGACAAGGGAGGCTGGTAAAGGAGGGAGACACACAAATCAAAGTCCGCTCTGGCGGCACCCACGATATGCCTACACCTCGCGTCTTCAATGCGCAAGCGTGTCAACTTCATTTTATCGTTCGAGTGGGAGAAAAATCCAGAGGTCTAGACAACCAGCTCGCTCCACCCTGTTTTCATAGGAAATATGTGACAACAGGACTAAAATCGGGCAAACATAACATGCACAAGTGTCCGTTTTCGTTATTGAATTTTTTCTGTGCCATACTTCGTAGGCCAAGGACAAGCATTGTATCTTCCAGAACCTAATAGTCGCCCAATTCTCCGTTCGTAACCTCGTCATATTGACTTAACTCTTGGATGTGTACAAGGGTATCCGTATTCGCCGTGACCCGAAACTTGCATTACCATAACACCGTTGCAAAACCGTTGCCTCGTTTATCCAATCCTGGAGCTGACAGATTCAAATGGCATTCTCTCCCCTTCACGCAGAATCCCCCCAAATGACCTTGTCGTCTGTAAAGGACATTAGGAACCTCGCCACGAGGCGACCGGTGTAGTACAGCTGTGGATCTCGTGGATATGAGTGCTTTTCGTGCTCGGTTTGGGGGAGAGGATCCCAGCATGTGTAGGTGATGTCTTGCCCTGAAGGTGATGGCGAACTGTCAGCATTTCTCTTCTTCCCTTGTCCCCGGTGTAACGAGTGTACTTACAAAGTTCTCCGTAAAAGAATTCTTTCAACTCTCGGACCAAGTTTATCGCCGGCTGATCCAGCTCGCCTTGTTCCATGAAACTATCATCGAACAGGGGGTTGAAGCTCTTGGCATTGGCTTCCTTGGTGTGTGTCTGGTAGACCTGGTGGAACTGATACGCAAACTGCTTGAACGGCATATTCTCTACCTCCTTGCATGTGTTGAGTGCAACGCTTCTCTCGTAATCGGGGCGAGACCCGTTTCTCATACCAATTTCGTTCTGTGAGACCACGAAAACGTCGGCGGCTGTCTCAATGGCTTCCATGAAGAGGCAGAGGACAAGGAAAGCGGCCAGGCAGGGTGCCCATTCCCGTCGAGACTTGGGCTTCAGGGACTTGGAGAAGAGTTCAAAGAGCTGCTGCGTTTCCCGCATCATCATCTCGTCAATGATGGACTTGATTTGCCGAGCCAGGAGTCGGGGGGTGAACGCAACGTTGTTGATTGGCATCATGCCAGTGGCTTGGAGAGAATCCAAGCACTCTACAGTGAGGCAGAGGTGGCGCGTCATGATGTAGTGCATGCAATAGATGGAGAGCGCCCGTTTAACCATCGGCGATTCAGACTCTTCGGCGTAGCGCTTAACAATCCGAAGAATCCTCGTCGGTATCGTGGTGTGTCTGAAGGAATCGGTGACCTGTTCCGGGAAGGCAGGCTCGGCAACTACTTCTTGGATGTACTTCTTGGTACGCTTCTTAAGCATATCTCTCTCAAAAGGGTCCTTGAATTCGAGGCCAATGGCTGCAGATCGGTTGGACTGAAGATCCATGCGGTTCATGCCAGTTTTCAGGTGCCAGTGCTGCACGACGTCACCGCCGTTGGGGGTGAAGAACTTGGCCTTGACAGCAAGCACTGTCGAAAAAAGAGGACCCGAGAACAGTTCTACAGAGCAGGTCTGCTCAACGCCATCAACCGTGAAGCCTTTAATATTTTCCGTGATGAACTTAGTCATCTCCTCCTTACGGAAGTGACCACGGATAAAATCGGGGAACAGAATCGGGATGAAGTCGGCGAACTGCCAGCAGACGACTTGCGGGACTTGGATCATCAGCTTCTTGCAGCTCTTGCAAGGTCGCTCCTTGTCACACTTGACCTTTCGGCTGTGGCAGCAAAAGCAAGCACCGAGTCGACGGACCTGAAGCGCACTCTCCTTGGTGGAGTTGGCAAGGGGACCCTTTCGTCCTCGCTGGCTAGTCCGCATCGCCTCGAAGCACTCAAAGGGGTTGGGTCGACCAGCATGAGCTGAGATGGATGTGGGTGTGACAATGACGAACTTGCCCGCCTGGTCCGCCTTCTTCTTCTCTACCTTGCCAGTCTTGACCTTGCGAATCTGGGCGGGGGGCGAACGGCTCCCACCAGGGCTGGCTCTAGAACTGGGGGATGAGGCAACCTGAGAGTTCATACTTTTCGGCGATGAGCCACTGAAATCATCCATGACGAACATGCTTGTCTCGGTCCCTCGAGGGTTGGCAGGGTTCCATGGCGGAACATTGGCGTCGGCCTGGAAGGGCTGAGGGATGTTGAGATCGACTTGAGGAAACTGGGCCTGTCCCTCTGCAGTTGCCGGAAACAGGTCAGTCTGAAACGTAGCCATGAACGGTGACAATTCTGCTTCGTGGTCAGCAAGATTTGACAAACCGCACTCCGTCGTTTGCGCCACGGACATACCTGCAGCATTCAGCTCCTGGGTGGTGAACTGGGTCGAGTCTTGCTGTTGGAAGAGGTACTGCTGGGGAGTCATGCCGAAACCTCCATCCGCGGTCGAAGGGTCCGATATCGTACTGAAGGCGTTTATGGTACCTTGATCCGCCAACATGGAAAATGAGGATGGGTTGGGGAAGAAGGCAGACTGGTCCATTTCGCCCAGGAGCAGGGGCGAGGCGGATGGGACCGAGGGTGACGGGGTGTTTCCAGTGACATGTCCGATGACAGCGAAGCTATTCAAACTTCCACTGGCAGGGTCAGAGAAGAATCCGATAGAGGATGGGGTGGAACCGGCGCCGTAGTCGATATACTGCCAGGACTCGTCGGTTTCGGCGGCGGAATCGATGTCATGATGGGGAGACGACCCATTCGGGGACGGTCGTGAGCTGACGGATGCCATTCCAGATTATATTTGCTGGTATACGAGGGTGTTATATTGGTTTGAATAGGTAGCCAAGGAACCGATTAGAAGGGCTCGAGATGAACGAAATGGTCCAATGTTAATTGGTAGACAGATGTTGCCGAGATGGACAAAGTACAGATCAAGGGCGAGTATGAACAAGGTATCGCAATGAAATGTTTCGATTCGAATGTACTACCCGTTGACGGTGAAGGTCATGCGATCAACTTCCGTAGGCGGTCACTCGCAGGAGGCAGATGGAGTTGTCGCTATCGCTATGGTCGCAGTCGCAGTTGCGACTTATTTGGTAGTGGCGATGACCGAAATGGCAGTTGGACAAAGTCGTCGCAGTAATTCACCCGCTCGTCGTCAGCAAACCAGGCTCACGCAGCGAGTAATCCAGGGCAGGCAAAGGAAGAGGGAGAGAATCAGCGGATCACGGCTCCTGGGGAAATGCCCTGGTTTTTTAAGAGAGCGAAAGAAGACAAAACTCATCAGGAATCTCTCTCGGTCGACCTTCTCGGGGTCGTCGTGGGGCTCAATGCTCGCCATCAACGTCTGTAAAGTATCGCGCTAAACCCAATCGGCCGACCGACTGGGCGTCGCCAGCTCGAAGGGCATGCATGGCACTGGGTGGCCTCGTTCTTTCCCTCCCGTCTGTTCACCCCCCTGACCAATCATTCTTGCACATGTGCTCGGGCTGTTTGAAAACTTCCCCACGTCTCTTTGGAGTCCATCATCCTACATCACTCCTTAACAAACTGGCCGACTGGCTCATTGTGCCTCTCACCGAGCGCCCGGGACGCTGTGCCACACCACTCATTACTTGCATTATCGACGGCCGAACCGTGACTGGCAGCTCATCTAGCATGCCTTAGGTTTCTATGCAGAGCATGATCAAGATTGCCATGGATGGCCTCAAAATCATCTCGTGACGCGTCGATGAGGTCCAATCCATTGTGGTACAGGCATTAATACATACTGGTGTCGCACAATAATCAGCACGAGGTCTTTGGACAATGATCGGATTGAAACTGGCATCATCTTGACAGACAGCCTGAGCATTTGCTTCGAATCTAAATTGGCTACCCTGAAGAACTCTGAGCGAAGCAAGCCATGCTGACACGAATTGGGCAGGTGTGAGCGACAGCAGAGCCGAATAGCTGGAAATTGGAGGCTCGTGTGCCAGATCGGTCCTGTGGTCTAACGGTCATGACTGCGGATTTTGAAGGGCCCTTGAGGAGTCCAGAGTATTCCGCCAGCGGGGGTTCGACTCCCCCCAGGACCTTCCCAACGCTCTTCGCTGTTGTTTTTTGGTGTTTGCATGATGTGCAATTCCTTTTTTTCTCTCTCCCTTTTTCACGGTTATGAGCGTCGAGATACGACGCTTGAACGTTCGTTGGTGGATGGGAGCGATGTTGAAGTTGATATCGCAGATCTTAGTGGGATGTCTATTGGCTTGGGTAATGTGGGGCGCGGTACGTCAATCGCTTGACCACTGCGAAGGTCGACAACAGGAGGAGCAAAACACGCAGGTACAAACCACTAAATTCTTCAATTTTAAGGCTTTTTTTCACCAATTTAAGAATAAACTAACAATACAAGAGCTACAACAGCTAGGGCTTAGGCTAGCAAGGGGTCAGATGGTTAGGAGTTAGAGTTAGAGATAGGAGTTAGGGATAAGGGTACAGTTGGGTATGGAACATAGACTGGTGAGTGTCAGTCGTGGGTTGTACGTGCGCGTTTGGGCATTCCTGCAAGAGAGTCATGTTTTGCCAGTCACTGGATTGCTCGGAGTCGGAATCAATAAGAGCAAAATGCGCGCTGATCCGGCGTCTGGTTCATTGCCTCATATCCAATCTTGTCTAAAACAACTGTCTCGATCGCTTCATCACGTACAGGTAATCATACACCAGTCGCGAGTGCAATTCATTCGTCACCAGATTCCTTCCCATCCATTCGTCCAATGCCCAACACCCCCATCCTCATCAATTCCATCCCAACGCCACCGACGGGTCCACGACAGTCAACATGCTGTGCACCCTTTCCAACAGACACCCAAAAGCCATTCCATAACTGGCCAGGGCAGAATTTTCTCTCCTTCTCTCTCGAAGAACTGTCAGAGGTCGATAATAGCAAAAGCAAAATCAAAAGCCCAAAAGTCAGGGCTCACGACAAAGCAGCTTCGCTTAAAAAGCAAAACTAAAGCACAGAATAAAAAAGCACTAAAACAGCAAAAGAAACAAACTCCTGACACGCTCTAAACGATGACCCTCCCTCCCCAATGAAGGGGTCTGTGTTTCTTGGTCATGAGCCATTGCTCAGCATGCGTGCCAAACCGCTTCATAACAACAAAACATTATCATTTCGCAATCCAACGTCGTGAAGGCGACAGGCAATGAATGAGCCTGAGCTTCAGTCCGATCCCTGTTTCTGCTCGGGGCCGTGGTCGAGTTGACTGGTCTCATTCCTGTTACCAGGATGTGTAATATAAACGTGATCATCGTCGAGCCATCGTGGCCGACTTAGTGGTGAAAAGACTGACTAATCTTTCTAAGAGCGATACCGCGTGGCGGCTCTTTCTTTGATCTGCTTTTCGGTGGAAACGTATAGTTTGTCAAGGTAGTCCATGGCTGAAGCATCCTTCAGTATCTTGGCCACTTGAATGCCGGCCGAGATCAGCTGAAGGATGTTCCGGTCATCCTTGAGGGGGCGGCTCTGATGTTTGGCGGCGTGTCGCATCTCCAGCGAGTTTTCCAGAATGGTGACAAACTGCTTGATTTGGCCATTGTATAGGACTCGGGCGGGGATGCGTCGCTTTGTTGCCAACCGCTTCAAGAGGTAAACCCATTCGGTCCATTCTCTGTCTTGTGGTCGCTCAACAGGTCTCATGTCCTGAGTCAACGGAATCGGGAACTGGTACTTGGCGACAAAATCGAAGGCGCACTGCGAAAGCCGATCGTTGACTTGGCTGAGGACACTGTCCTGCTCCTGAACGTGAAGATTCGTGGGTAGATGGGGGAGTTCCCGCTCCTGCATCGCAATCACGTCGGGGGGCGGTCGTTGCAAGAACTGGTGAGGGCCATCGAACTCGTCTCGGTTCGAGGGTCGCCTCTGTGATCGGCCCCCCTTGGGGTTATGCTTCGTCTTGCCGGCAGGCGCAGCGGTGGCAGCGCTCTCCAGAGAGTAGTCGGAAAGATTGGGCGATGCGATTATGTCGTCGACCGAATCAGTCGGCGAGTACCTATCCCCAATGTCCCAGGCCTGGGAGCTGGAGCCCTTGTAGGAGGAGCCTTGACCTATGACTCCCTTCCCATAGGAACCCGAGGGAGGCCGGGTGCCGTAGGACGGAGCGGTCTGATACATGGACTCGGGCCGCGAGCGACGTCCATTGGAACCTATGGGCATCCCCCCAGCCAGGTTGTAGGAGCTGGCTGAATAGTTGACACTTGAGAATACATGTTACTAAATCGTCGGACCAAGGGTGGACCTCGGGTGCTCGTCTTACCTTGGGGTCTGGTAGAAGGCACTCTCGAGCCCTCCATGCACCTGGGGTTCGGCAAATGAACTAGCAGCGACCGATCAGCGAAATGATCTAGGAAGGATCCGAGGATGGTAACCTACCTCCGTGTTGGGTTCCAGGTGCTGCCGGACATGGTAGCAGATGATCTGTAGGCAAACTCGGGTTGGGCCATGTCGTGCTGGCTCATAATGGGTAAAAAGGCAACGTCAAATCTTTTGGGCAAGACTTCGACGAGGCTTGCGGCTGATAAAGAGAAATTCCACCGAGTCGAAGAAGCAACGGAGCCGCCTGGATTGGATCCAACAAAAAAAAAAAAAAAGCGACTAAATCCGATGGACAGCTTGCACACACTATGGAGCCTCGGGCTGAGATCCTTGGTTCCTCCAGAAAAAAAAGCTGGTTCCAATCACTCCGGGGGAATCCACGGTGACTAGGGTTTCCTGAGATGTCGATTTCCTGGGTCTTCCTGTCGGCGATTCTAGGCGGTGTGTCCCGGGGTTCCAAGGCAGGGGAGAATGAGACGTCCACAACAGCAATAAATAACAGCTGGCTTAGGTGGTCTCGCAGGACGGAGTGAAGCACAAAGGGTCGTGCACGGGGCTAGCGAACCAGTGAGAGGTGCTAGGAAAGCCGATTGAGGTGGCACGGGGCGATGGCGAGGGTGAGGCTCGGAATAGTGTCGATTTTATCTTCGTTTCGTGAGGCATCAAGGGAGCTGGGCCGCATGTCAAAGTTGGCTGATCCCGGACCAGATGGTAGTGACAGAGATATTCCGTTCGCTAGCAGCGGAGTTGACAGGGACCGGGCCAGTCTAGAGTTGACGCAAAACACCAAGTCGTTTCTGGCAAGATTTGCAGAGGAATTCGCCCCAATACCCCAGGAAGTTGGAATTGTTGGAGTGGAATAGTTGAAGTCAGGGTACTGACGGGTACCTAGAGCCCACCTGGCAGCAAGAGGAGAGGGACTGCGAGGGTCTGTTGGCGTTGGCGTGGGCGTTGGCGATGCAAGCAAGAGGAAGAGTCCACAGTCATCGGGAGTGGTGAGGGGCTAGCTCGTGGTTCAGCACAGAACAGTAATATTCGTACGGTACGGTGCAGTGCAGCGCAGTGCAGTGCATCAACCAGCCGCTTGACAATTGATTTCGTTGCGCGCGCTTGTCGGAGGACAGATGCAAAAGAAAACGAGGATTGCTAGTCTATGGTTGGCGGTTGTTTGAGCAGGTAGCCGAGGGAGAGACGAGGCGGGCAGAAGAAACTCTCTCGAGGGAGTACACGAGTACACGGAGCATGCGACGAAGCAGCGAAAAAGACTTGTTTTGCCAGAGTGTCCAGGACTACCCCAGATGTTTGTGGTTGAAGGGTGCCAGCTTGGCCCGAGCGAGGCAATTTCCCGGGCACCATTGGGCGCTGGCGTTGTCGCCCAAGACGAGCTGGCAGCATCAGGTAGAGATGACCTCAGGTGAGACACTCGCGAGCAGGGGACTTCCCGGAAAGAAGAGGAGCGGTCAATGGCCGACTGAGATGGGAGTCGGGCACCAAGCGCCTGAACTGTCAATTGATGCCAGCAAACAGCCTTCAGTTCAGCATCAGCACCCAACCGCCCCGGATTGATGCCCACGCCCACCATCACAGGACCTGCAATGCATGGCTTACAGCACACCACCACCCACGATGCTTGCTTGCTCGCGTTTGGGAGACAGCCTATTCGCATGTACCTAACGTGCTAACTCGAGCTGTCAGGGATGAACGGGCACCGAGGACTGGGCACCGGGTCTTGTCTTGGACCGTCATGGAGACTCGATGAAACTGGGCCCATTGGGCGACCGACTGGACAGCTCACGAACGCGTCGAGTCTGAATGAAGGAATGGATGGCAGCCCGTGCCGAAGCCGAATTCCCTCTTCATCGCTCTGAAGGCATCATGACCCTCGACGAGATGGTACTGCAATCTGTACAGCGTGGCCTGACCTGATGCAACAGCCGCTGGCTACGTAGGCACTGCATCCATTCGCTCCACCGAGTGCTGGCACCCGTGGCATTTGCTGGCACTCGGTTGACTTCCTTGGATTGCTTTTTGCTTTTTGTTTCGCATGCGGCACCGTGATCCATCCAAACGTGATTTCAGCTTCAAGCTGAGGCGAAGGATTGTGGACCGTGCCAGCGAAGGGAAGAGATGCGTTGCGATTGAGGCGGGTCTGCCGACGTCGCCCTGAGGCCAACGAGATGAGAAGGCATGTCTCATAAGGCTGCTTGCCTCGAATGGCTGGCAATGGCTGGCAATGGCTGGCAGTGGCTGGTGGTGTTTGGCTGGGATGCCCTCGACCGCCGTCCAAGTGCCAGATCGGAGTCCACTTCTCTCATCAAGCAAACGACGGGAACCAGATGGCAGACAGATGGCGTATGCATGTGACTGAGCACGCGCATGGATCAGCTCAAGCAGCGGAATGAGGCGTGACACGATTGTCATTCCCTTGTGTTCGTACTCGGTACTCGTCCTGGATCTGTTTTACCTTGCCTCAAGAAACAAGGCGTCAGCCTCGCTGTCTCAATGTCTTCTTGTTGTGGATTCGAAAAAAAAAAAAAAAACATAACAGCGCCACGTGACGGAATATGCGAGTTTGCTTTAAACTCGCTTCCATTCCTCTGCGTCTCTGGTTGTCGAGTTGACCACGCGTTCCATCTAAACGTGTCAGTCGTCACTTTTTTCAACCTCTTTTCCCTACAACTCATCAGACTTCTGAGGTGGCTCTCATGCTAAGTCCGCTTA